GAGAAACCCCAAAAAAAAAAAAAAAAAACAACCAAGCATGAAATAAAACCAGGCATTGCTCTCTCCATTAGTAAATTATGCCAGTAACAAACAACATATTTAATATCCCATTAAATAAGAGATGCCTCTACTTAATTTTAAAAGAAATTTATCAAATATATTATTTTTTACTGTGGTTTTCTGTTATTATCGTGTCTGTTTAAAAAAATATTTTGTATGTAATCAAATATTAAAAAAAAAAATTGGAGCACATGATAGAGGTCTACACAATCGAGTGGGGCAAATTACATTTTCTGATATTTAAAAACATTTTTTTACTATGTAATTGGAAACATTGTCACATCATTTTCTTAATTATGCGGCATGTGTAGACGATATAATACGTCATTAGTGGAGCTTGTTGTTTTTGTTAGTTTATTTCTCCTTCTCTTAAAATTATATATTAACCACCCTTTTTATTGTTGATATTTTAATTTTAGTCATTATTTTTTTTATTCTTAGCTTTTTTATAGAAATTTTATTTCTTTTCAATTTTATCTTTCAATCTCAATTTTTCATATATTATTTTTTTTAATTTTTTTCACATTCTTTTGATTATTTTTTAGGCCTTTTATTGAATTGAAATTTCTTTTAATTTTACATTCACTCAAAAATCTATTTTTATTTTGTACTTCAATTCTCATCCTCATTTTTTAAATTTTTTTATCCTTTTATTCAAAAAAAATTTCAACTTCATGCTTCATTCAAGATTAAATTTATTTTGTGTTTTATTTTTTATTTTTATTCTTCTAATTATTATTTTTTGTTTTGGATCTTTTGATTTAATTGATATTTTGTTTCCACATTAATATTTCAATATTTAATTAGTGAATAATTAAATTTTATAATTTTTTCAGATAATGTGTTTCCAGTCTAATTTTTCTGGTCATGTATTTGAAAATTTAATGTGAATTGACATTTTTTTTGTATTTTTTTGTTATTTTTTTTTTTAGCTTTGTGAATTTTTGTGTTTTCTTTTATACTAGATTATTTCAATCTCATAATTTGTAATATGGATTTGACTGGTTAACCCAGGTTAGTTCACCCTTTACTCCTCGGGTTACAGGTTTATCATATTAACTTAGATTGATTTAAGCTATTTTTTTATTCAATTTCACCTTTCGATATTTAAAAAATTAAAAATTGAGCTACATTATTTATCTCTTTTTACAAAAATATTTTTTCTCATATTATTGTTATTGCTTTTTTTAATTTACTCTCTTTGTTGTTATTATTTAAATTGTTTTATATAATTTCATTAAAATAATGTCGACATGTTTGATCCACTCCGGTTTTTTGTGACTGAATCATAATTCCACTCCGGTTTTTTGTGACTGAATCATAATTTTTTTTTTTCTTTTTTAAATATAATTGCATTACCTAGCATCACGTAACAACCATAAACCTAACATCCTCAGCCTGAGAATCCTTCTCAAATGAACCTGACCTGTCTTTCAAAGAACAAGAGCGAGAAGCATGTTCATTGACAGAATTCCCAGTTCCAAATGCTTTACATGCTTCTAATATAAACTTCAATTCAGATTCTCTCGTACAACTTCTCTTTTCTATCTAGTAATAACTTTATCTGGTATTGAACAGCTTCAACTTCAATTTCCATTGTTTGTTTCTTTTGTCAGAAAGAGTTCTAACGGTATTCTGACTGTGTTTCGTGTTGTCTTCTGCTAAAACAAACAAAACAGATTGGTTTTGTAAGAGAGACAACAAAGCATGGGGAATGGGGAAAAGCTCCTTCCCTATGGTTTGGGCAGAATCCCAAATGGGTTAAACCCATGAAAGGACGATCCATTATTCAATGTTTGTTTAAACGGACGATCCAAATGGGTTTCACATAATTTTTTTCAGAAATCAATTAACTAATCTGGGTGTTTTCCTGTTTGTTAAACTTGTTTAGGTTAGAAAAGTTAGTGGAAAAAACATTGGCTGAATGACAAGCAATTCAGCTAAAAAGAAAAATGTCTTGATTTTCAGAAAAATATTAATTTTGAATGGTATAGACTTCTAAAAATGCAAGTAAAAATAAAGTACAATGACCATTAAAGTAAAATTTGTTAAATTGATGTCATGGGATTTTTTCATCATTTCATTAATTTTTATAATTATCAACTAGATTCCAGTGGATTCCAGTGGATTCCAGGGCAATTCAATATCTTGGTAAATATAAAATATTATTATAAAAAAAAGGTCGACGTGTATAATATACTTGTCGATATATCAGAGGTGTCCACACTTTTCAAACAGCACATACAGTGTGCTTTAGAGCAATTCAATATCTTGATAAATATAAAATATTATTATAAAAAAAATGATCGACGTGTGTAATGTACTTGTCGATGTGTAAGAGGTGTTCGCACTTTTCAAACAGCACATACAGTGTGCTTCGTTGACCAAACATTGGCTTCCAGTGTGGCATTTGAAGTGTCTCATCGAATTCTTTTTGATAGTGCAGCACTATTTGGTAAAGGTGTGACATTTGAGCCCCGACTGCTTTTTTTTTTTTCTTCTTCTTTTCTCTTTTTTTTTCTTGAAATTTTTTTAAAAGTATCTTAATATCTTATTATTTATTGATTATATCAAATTTGATCTTTAATCTTTTTATCACTATATATTTTGTTTCGAATCTTTTTTTATTTTTCCATTGGAATTTAATTTTATGTCAACTTTATTCCTATTTTTTATTGTTATTTGTTTTTCATCCTTTTTTAATTGAAATTTTTTTATCTATTAGATCTGGTCTTATTTTTTTATTTATATTTATTTTATTAAAAATAATTTATAAAATTAGAAAGAAAAAAATCAATTGCATCATCTTTCAACTTTTTTATCTATTCGATTTGGTCTCTTTTTTGTTTTAATTGCTATTTTTTTTATTTGAAATAATTTATGAAATTATAATTTTTTTTCTCCAATTTCATCCTCTTTTAACTTTTTATTTTATCATATTTGGTCTCATTCTTTTAATAAATTAAAAAAATATTAATAAGTTATTTTCAATAGCACAATCAAGTATTGAAAAGTGTTTTCTAATTTTTTTTCCATGACACTGTCAAACATAAAAAAACTAATCCACTTTCTAAGAATTTACTTCTAAAAAAAATCACTTTCTAAAATGAAATTATTTTTCAGCAAACAAACAAGGTCCTTTTACTAAGTGTGGACTTGTGTTACGCCATGGTACCAAACTATTTTTTGCATAAAAAATAATTTTTAGGTGTCACCAATATATTTAAAAAAGGAAGAAAAATATGTGACTTGTATCATAAACCCAACTTTATCAAATAAGTTGATTTTATTCTAATTAGATTATAAAAAAAAATGAGCAATGACAATAGATAAACCAAATTAAAAACAAAAGTGATCACGATAACTTGGGAGAAAATAAATTTTCAAAAGAGAACAAACGATATAACTTAGTTTATCACCTATTAAATACACAAGGACAAAATTAAGTAAAAACATTACCTTAAAAATTTGGTTAAGTCAACTTGAGTTAACATATCCAATCTGTAATTTCAATAATCAGGATTGAGTCCACTTAAGTTATCTCATCAAACTTGCGATTTAAGTCATGATATCAAATAACCTGATATGGCAAAAAAATAAAGAAAACC